TTAAGAAAACTTCAGGGAAGAAATTCATTTTGTTGGTTAATATACTAACATATGGCTAACATATGTCCAAACCGTATGCCTCCACAGGGCAATGAACCATGGTGATCCGGGTTAGAACTGAACTTCAGCAACCCATGCATGTCTTAAGAGGCGACTAACGGGATCGGGTGGTTAGGCGCGTTGACTTGGTTGACACATGTCATCGATGCCCGTGATGTTGATCACTGGATTCTCTGGTTCAGATTCAGATTCTTTGATTATTTACATACCGACGTCATATAGCTATAAATTTGTAACGTTAAACAACAAGGGCACTGTTCGATTTCAGTCATTTCGATTTTAAGAGTTAAACATAGGGGCAAGTCGATGAAAAGGTTTCATGTACCCTCATTTTGAAGTAAATAACCCTTACAAAGCAGAGAGTTATAACTGAACATCAGAAGAGGCATCAATTAGTTCATCATATGAATAATTGTCTGAAGCGATATAGTCACAGAAGTTATAATACATATATCCACATTGTGGAACATTGGTCCAAATGCACATGCATGATTGTGGAATAAATACTGATGTTGTACAGATAAAAAAAACCCGAATGCCATGACTTTCGCAAGCGCAGCGGGACAGGGCGATAAGTGAGGGCTTCACAACGTCAGCTGACCAGAAACTTCAGCTGCAGCCAGGCCACCATCACCAAATTGATAAACCGCTACCAGCAAACAGGCAAGATCCAAGACCACCTGAGATCGGGAAGACCAAGTGTCACGACACTGGCCGAAGACCGCTACATCCGGCAGATCCACCTTAGGGACAGATTCCGGACGGCGAGATAAACCTGGACAGTTCTTCGACGTCTTGGTATGGCTGGTATACGAGCCTACCACCCCTTGACTCGTCTACACCATCAACGCAAACTGCAATGGACACGAACTGTTCCTCGGTGGCAGCAAAGTCATCTTTTTGTGGTGCTTTTTATTCAACAATAGCCAAGAGGAGTCATTTTCCAGCACGACGACGCAAGGCCTCACACCGCCAGAATTGGTCATGAATACCTGAACAACGTTAACGTTATTGCCTTGGCCAGCGCATATAGATAAACCCCATTGAACACCTCTATGATCATCTTAATCGTCAGCTCAGAAAGCGTGTGCCACCTCCAGTGAACCGACAGGAACTTGAACAGATTCTCTTGGACATATGGAACAGGATTCCTGCTGGCATCATCCGCCGACTGAGGAGATGTATGGATGCCCAGGGTGGCCACACTTGCTACTGATGACGTGCCCCCCTAACTCCTTTCTCATTATGCTCCTTTTAAATGAACTCTTATCTGTGCACTTTTTAATTTATCGCCTTTCTTAATGAATTGCGACAAATGCAAGACCAGCATTACAATGAATTTTTATTTAAATTAATGGAATATGATTTCTGTTTGCATCATAAATCTCACATATGTCTTTGTTTCTATTTTTCTGTTCGAGTGAAGTCGGTGGTACCATTCGTTTCCTCAGAACTTTACATATAAATATTTTAATTAATTCAACTTTTTTTAGAAGAACAATAATTAAACTAGAACTACCATAATACTGACTGACTGACTGAGTTTAGTTTTACGCCGCTTTTAGCAATATTCCAGCAATATCACGGCGGGGGACACCAGAAATGGGCTTAACACATTGTGCCCATTTGGGGAATCGAACCCGGGTCTTCGGCGTGACGAGCCAACGCTTGAACCACTAGCCAGATAGCATTTGGACGTTTGGCAATGTTGGTAAAACCATTGCCAACGGTGGGCCAACGTCTGAATGCTATCAGGGTAGGCTACCCCACCGCCCACTAAGATAATAAGAAAGATCCTTTTGGGCATGCTTTACTGTAATCCTTTCATCACAAATTTAGGATCCTCAACTTTAAATAAAATTATGGACAATATCTACTATGACCAATACGACAAAATTACCTCCTCAGATCCGGACGGACAGCCCAAATTGGTGTAACAGATAATTGTTTATATTTCATTAATTCATTGATAACTGCTTCATCAGCAAACTCCTTTTTAATTGGATTTCTGATGTAACATCTAATAACAGGTTTATAATCGCTGTAAGGTATCAGAAGTGGTGTCTCAGTTTTGTTGAGTGCTGCTTTAGCATGATGAGCGAATGCTTTAATAACTAGGCTATGCCATCGACCGACACCTGTCGGAAGGTATGACAGTCATATAAATATTTCATGATGCTTCCGTTCATGGTAGTGATTTATCTTCTTTCCAATTACTCGGGATTACTGATATGGAATAAACATTTTTCACACATTGTTCTATGTAATTCGCAGAAACAAAACCCTTTTTGTATTTTAGAATTTTCATGGATCTCTAGCCATGTCGAAACCAAATTTGATGGATAAATCAAAACCCACAATGGTTAAAAAATTGCACAGATTTCACAATTAATGTTTGGAAAAGGATTTAATTATTATTACCGTCTGCACATTCGATTTATATTATCCATTACTGTGACTTAATTAATTCATGGTTTTTCTTAAACATACATTTTATGCAACATGACTAACAGATTGTGTTGATTAGAGACGGTTGAGTGGATGCATTCTCGTACTACATGGCAAAAGCAAACCCATTAGAAATGGCCTTCCTTGCTTCCAGCAGCCACAAGATGAAAATATTGACACATTCGGATAGGGCTTGTGTGTTTGATAGCATTGTTGCATGTGAGGGCATAATGAGGGCACAATGTTTAAGAACGATGAGCCCTTAAAACTTCTTCTTTTCAGATTTTCATGATTTCTTCGTCCATATTGATTTGTTTGCTTGTTATTTATTTAAACAATATTTTGGTTACATAACGGCGGTCTGTAAATTATCGAGTCTGGACCAGACAACACAGTTATCAACATCATGAACATCGATCTGCGCAACTGGGATACAACGACGTGTCAACCGGATCAGAAAGCCCGTTAGCCGCCTCTCACGACAAGGGTGGCTTGCGCAAAGACAATTTTAACCCGATCTTCACAGAGTATTAACATGCTAAGACACACATACAAGCACAAAATATATGTACATAAATATGCCTTTATAATGTCATACAAATGCATATAAGATAGTCTGTTGAGTAAAACTTGCAGGTAATTACATGTAATGAATGCATATAAATGAACGACATACGCCATGTACATATTTAGAAGGACGCGATACTGGTCATGATCATGATTCATATGTGGCACAATTTATAGGCCCAGACAATTTAATATATAAAAGACAGACAGACCGTTTTTAATTCAGTATTAAAATACTGGCCACTGGCCCAAAATACATTTTTTTCGGTTAATAATTTGCTGTGACAAAAGATTTATAAGTCCCCTTTGAACCAGCAAAATAGAACACACACAAGTCTAAAATATTCAATGATATATTGAGCAAACAATGAGCAAGCTACAGACCACGACTTTCTAACTTCTTTGATCAGTAGTATGCCCCGCCGCATTGAAACCTGCATTGTTGCCCATGGTGACTTGACAAAATACTAACTGTTCACCTGTCTTTGAATCTGGAGTTATGTTCTGCTAATATTCACATTTAATACGTGAGTAATGAGTGAAATTTTTTTTACAATCTTTAAATTCTCAATAATTTTGGTTGTACTGTACATGTAATTATATTATTACGGTTATATCAGTGATACTACTAAGACCCTGAATAGATGTAAGTATCATTGGTTCATTTTTTATAACAAAACAATATCAGTATTTGTATGCACGAGCTTGATGGTAAAATGTAAAGATCCTTGTTTTACAGTGATACTGTCAAAATGGAATAACATAAAATACACAATCTTCTGCTCAAATATTATCTACATAATGCAGGCATTGTCAATATTTACCCCCTTAGAATGCCCGTACACAATCTGATCTTCTTTCCAAGTAGATCCAGCAACATAAATAATCCAAACATTATAATATGAATAATCCTCAAAGTAAATGCAGTGAAAGGCATTATCTGATCATAAATAATCCTCTAAATAAACGCAGTAAAAAGCATTACCTTTTCATGAATAATCATCTAAGTAAACGTAGTGAAAAGCATTATCTGATCATAAATAATCCTCTAAATAAACGCAGTGAAAAGCATCATCTGTCATAAATAATGCTCTAAGTAAACGCAGTAAAAGCATTACCTTTTCATGAATAATCCTCTAAGTAAACACAGTAAAAGCATTACCTTTTCATGAATAATCCTCTAAATAAACGCAGTGAAAAGCATTATCTGATCATAAATAATGCCTAAGTAAACGCAGTGAAAACATTAATCATAAATAATCCTCTAAGTAAATGCAGTAAAAGCATTACCTTTTCATGAATAATCCTCTAATTAAACGCAGTGAAAAGCATTATCTGATCATAAATAATCCTCTAAATAAACGCAGTAAAAAGCATTACCTTTTCATGAATAATTTTCTAAGTAAACGCAGTAAAAAGCAGTACCTTGTCATGAATAATCTTCTAAGTAAACGCAGTGAAAAACATTATCTGATCATAAATAATCCTCTTAATAAACGCAGTAAAAAGCATTACCTTTTCATGAATAATCCTCTAAATAAACGCAGTAAAGAGCATTACCGTTTCATGAATAATCCTCAAAGTAAGCGCAGTGAAAAGCATTATCTGATCATAAATAATCCTCTAAATATACGATGATGTATTGTACTGTGAAGCATTTCGATGCGGCGGTAATCCTGGGGGTAGCTACCATTATTAAATAAGTTCGGGCTTACACATGCTTGTTGCTAAAAAAGTTGGGCAAGCACTCAGTACTATCAAAATATATAGCTATCGGGCTTACACGAAAAAATCTACGCGCCTGGTGGTATAAAGAAGTTAATCTTTAATCCTCGCAAAGACACGTGATTTCTGTCAATATTATTCCTAATGGAGTTGCCTCCCTTAGACAGTCCAACCACACCACAGCCTCACCGTGAAACACGAAACACACCTGTTCATTGCCTATTCATTGTGAGACACACTACGACGTCTGCGCAAAACAGTGACGTCACCGAAAGAGGCTGTTTCGATTCGACCCCTTTCTCTATTTATAGCTCCTGGAACAGTTATTTTTAACACCTGACTCTATCTGCTTTTTGTGACAGTCGGGAACTTCGTTCAAAGGTATGATAAAATACATACATCTTCTTATGTTACCTGTCTCATTGAAATGTTTCCGGGTTAAAACATGGCTGCGCAGTTGCTGTTGTACATTGTTATGTTACTATGTACTGATACGATCGTGAAAACATCCAACAATTAACACGATGTGGCTTAGGTGTACACTTATATGCGAGTGATATACTCTTTCAATAACAAGAATAATGAACTGACAGCACACCGTGTTTATGGCTTTCGATTTGTGCTACCGCTGTTTATTCAAGTGACACAGAAAACCGGTGTTTCCCCTTCTTTCATATCTGTTACGTCACCGGTGTGGAGACATATTGGTCCCTGTAACATTCAGACTATTTTGGTGTCGTCTGTTCTTGTGAAACGTATATCAGCGTACGTACACAGGACCGATCTTCATATACGTGTCGTAACTGGCGTTGGGGCGTTAGTAAACCCTACCACAGTTACCTACTACTTGTGGCCGTTCCCATTGTCAGGGGGAGATAGCAGCTCTGGCGCTCCACTCGCTTGGTCCGTTGCAGGATGCTGCTAAGTCTCGGAGTGAGGGGTTGGACGACCGTGACTCCTAACTAACCACATGGCATTCATGTACTGGCACACATACATTCAAAGATAAACGCAACACCAATTTATACTCACATAGTTTACTCTGTCTCAGTCCATCTCTCTAACTACAACTTCATCAATAGACAGGGTAGGCTCGTACCACACGGGGCACCTGAGTGGTGGGGACTGGCTTCCATCACTTAAAAGTAGGGCTGTGCAATATTACCGGTAAACCGGTACATACCGATACAGTATCTCGCGATACGATTATCACGATATGGTTCAGATTCTGCAATATACTGGGTCATCCAGAGTTAGCCCTCTTTGAATTTTATGCCCTTGACTTCCATGGCAACAATATATACAAGTGCCAAATATACTTTTATTTCAGTTGGTTTCTTGTAACATTTTACAAGTGGAAGCATCTTCATAAGTAGCTCCAAAAGAGCCAAATATTCTACCAAGTTTTGTGGGTTTGAATGGTTTCATATGTGACAGTTTGGAGGAATTAAGTGGCCTCAAATGGGCCAATGTTTTATTTGGCCTTATTAGTAGAGCCTCTGGCTCTGAGGGACCATTTCACAATTCAAAATATTTTATTATTTTTGTTTGTTTCATAATGGGATATATGTTATCAATTTATCATAGAGGCTTAAGTCTTATAAATTTTGTAGGACTGTATAATGACATTTTAGTCAAGGATCTCAGCATTGGAGGTTACATGAGTTTTTAAGCTCAAGTAGTTCACCTAAATCATGATTTTGTTTCATTTTGCAGTAGTCCATGTTAACACATGTTTATATTGGAATTGAATCTGAATGAATCACAGACATACGAGGGGCGATCAAAAAGTAATAGAATCACCAAGAAAACGATACAAATGCAGTTATTTTTATGTTTTATTTTTCTACATATTATTTGTCAAACTCAAGCAATTTGGTTTTGCTATGTTCCAGTCTCACGATCCCCATTTTGTTTGACCTTTTATCTTGGTACCCTCAAAAACGCAACGTCTACAATAAATGCATCAAAAACTTCAGGAAACAAAATATGCAAGAAATATTTTGTGTGTTTGAGATTGATAGAAGTCCCCTAGAATCACACTTAGATATTAAACTTCATAAAAAAGCAATTTGAAATAACAATCGCTTGTTAAAGTGACTCCCCCGTTCATGTTGACTGAAAGAGTTTGTTTTGGAGCATAGCTTATTCTACTGTTTTCACTTATGCATACATGATGCCAAGGGTTCAAACTGAATGGTCACACAAGTGTCAGCTCACATATATTGTAAACTGTGCCAGCTTGAATATCTGGACACAATGTTATTGAAAGATGTAAAAGGGTGTGTCCTTCAAAAAATAGCCCCAGACTAAATATAAATCAGGCAATCCAAATCTTTGACTGTTGATAATGACAGGAAGTCATCCAATGCTATACTGAACATATTTTATATGACAATATCTGAGGGCATACCATTATCCAAGAGGTACCAAAAGACAAATCGTGTTTCATTTTCTGCAAATTTGTTAGAAATATATGATACCTCAATGTGTTGTAATGACAAATATCTGGTAAACCACATTACCCACACATGTGAAATTTTTGATATGGCTTTGCTAACGATTCCTTTAAAATGAAATGGAAGCTTTTCAAACATTGGACATCGAGAATATCGTTAGGCTACGTACTTTTTGATCGACCCTCGTACCTTAACAATAAGTACATCCTGCATTGAAGTGCACTCCGTTGAAGAAAACAACACTGCCTTCGGCTAAACGCCATTCGCTCGAATCTCTGTCCGCCTACCGTGCCTAACCATTATGACTCATGATCAAAACTGCAAATCTAAAATACGGAACCTGATGTAATTCTCTCATGGTTTAGGACCCGTGAAAGTCCGGGTTAGAATGTGCCTTCAGTAACCCATGCTTGTCGAAAGAGGCGACTAACGGGATCGGGTGGTCAGGCTCGCTGACTTAGTTGACATATGTCGTCGGTTCCAAATTGCTCATGCTGTTGATCACAGGATTGTCTGGTCCAGACTCGATTATTTACAGACCGCTGCCATATAGGTGGAATATTGCTGAGTGTGGCGTAAAGCTAAACTCACTCACTCACTCTCATGGTTTAGGGGTGCATTTTTACCTTGTAACAATAGCATTACCATGGATATTTGTTTGAAATGAGAGGCTTTCTCTTTCGGAATGTTATTATATTTTCTGCTTTTGTGACATGATTACGAGGACAGTTATGGTGAAAATTGGAGCCAGTTTGCATATTTTAAAGCTTGTGATATGTTTGGTTGCAGCATGAAGGAAGACGGGGCAGAGGATGGGAACTCAGGTCAAAGTATGTGTTTTTCCTCACGATAAATACAACTATCACCATATCCCGACTAATTCCCCTTATATTTCATTAAATGAAACAATAATTATAGTTTGGCATGAAATGCATGTAGACCCGGTTTTTTTGTAAATATCTCTTCATCCAATGACCCAATCGATCTCAAACTGTGCAAGTGGATGTTCTGTCAGACAACCTAATCACATTTTAAATCACCGATTTTATGCATTTGTATTAAAGAATCTGTCTATGTAACTGTCAACAAAATAAACAACAGAACGCAGACTGCTGCGGCAATGACCTGTACCTGTTTAAATCAGACACCACACGTGACATACACGACATGAGACACCACACATGACACACACAACATGAGAAACCACAGATGACATACACAACATGAGACACATCACATGACATACACAATATTAAACACACATGACATACACAACATGAGACACCACACATGACACACACAACATGAGACACCACACATGACATACACAACATGAGACACCACACATGACATACACAACATGAGACACCACACATGACACACACAACATGAGACACCACAGATGACATACACAACATGAGACACCACACATGACATACACAACATGAGACACCAAACATGACAAACACAACATGAGACACCACACATGACATACACAACATGAGACACCACACATGACATACACAACATGAGACACCACACATGACACACACAACATGAGACACCACACATGACATACACAACATGAGACACCACACATGACATACACAACATGAGACACCACACATGACATACACAACATGAGACATCAAACATGACATACACAAAATCAGACACCACACATGACATACGGAACATGATACACCACACATGACATACACAACATGAGACGCCACTTGTGGACACTAAAGCACCCACATTGCCTAACCACGCGACACCACACTGCCGACCACATCACTTCACAATAACCACACCACACCTCACCATCCGACACCACACTGCCGACCACACCACATCACAATAACCACTCCACACCTCACCATCCGACACCACACTGCCGACCACACCACATCACAATAACCACTCCACACCTCACCATCCGACACCACACTGCCGACCACACCACTTCTCAATAACCACTCCACACCTCACCATCCGACACCACACTGCCGACCACACCACTTCTCAATAACCACTCCACACCTCACCATCCGACACCACACTGCCGACCACACCACACCACACCACAATAACCACACCACACCTCACCATCCGACACCACACTGCCGACCACACCACACCACAATAACCACACCACACCTCACCATCCGACACCACACTGCCGACCACAGCACATCACAATAACCACTCCACACCTCACCATCCGACACCACACTGCCGACCACACCACTTCTCAATAACCGCTCCACACCTCACCATCCGACACCACACTGCCGACCACAGCACATCACAATAACCACTCCACACCTCACCATCCGACACCACACTGCCGACCACAGCACATCACAATAACCACTCCACACCTCACTGCCGACCACAGTACACGAGTTCACACCACGCCACACCAAACCACATAAAACAGCAAACACACATCACACACCGCACCGCAAATAAGGCCACAGACCGCACCAGAGAAAACAGCAAAAAAAGGCACCATATACCGCACACACACACACACACACACATACACACACACACCAGTGTGTAATTGTCCCCATAATGCCATAAACATTGTTTGTCATTACGTTACACTCCTGATAAAAAACTTTCATGTTTCAGGGCCGAACGTCAATACTACCGCTGTAAAGGACGGACAGGCCGGGACAGCGATAGCATTTGGCAATGCTAAAATTGAAAACCTTTCAAGTATTGATGTTATTGCTTTCATATGTTAAATCAACCTTCAGTATTAATTAAATGACTAATTATATTCACATTACTTTGAGATAGAATCAGAGAATATTATGGTTGTGTAGAGTGAGTGAGTGAATATGGTTTTACGCCGCTATTAGCAATATATTCCAGCAATATCGCGGCGAGGGACACTAGAAATTTGGATTCAAACATTGTACCCATGTGAGGAATCGAGCCCTGGTCTTCGGCGTGACGAGCGAACGCTTTAACCACTAGGCTACACCAGCGTCCCTATGTATGTGTAGATGTAAAATTGCAATATTCCATTCTCAAGATGTACGTATGACAACAATGTGTAGCACTGTCAGCCTGAAGATTTAGTGAATGAGCGAGTTCCGTTCACCTTTGAACATTATTACATGCTATTTCAGACATGTCAACAGAACATATACTCATGCCAATAATGGTTGTCACCCCTCCCCACCCCAACCCCCACCCCCACCCCCTCTCCAATTAAAAACATTGAAGGGAGTGACAACCATTATTGGCATGAGTATATGAGTTGAGATCAATTTAGTGTGTTGGTTTGATTGCTTGTTCAACGCCGCACACTGCAGTATTCAAGCTATACGACAGTGGTCTGCAAATAGTTGAATCTTAAACAGACAAGCCTGTGATTGCTAACATGAGCACTGATCTACTATGAGGGATATGATGCCATGTATCAATCTGCTCAGCGAGTCAGACACCCGGTACAGTCACTCGCCTCCTGCGAGAAGCCGATCTTAATGAGTTTGTAACTTGTAGTGATACAAGTATAGTGTGTCTACCTTCTTGGTTATATCCAAAAGCACAGTGATGATGACATGCTATGAAACATACTCACGGCAGGTGTCTATTTGGGCCCTACTGTCACAGCTTCCTGACATGCCTAAGGGGCGCAACTCTGTATAGTGAAACGTGCAACCTTAAACCACAGGGCAATCCGTGCCACAAACAGTAACAGTTATTTATTAACGGAATAATGAAGCAACCAAACCCTTCCACTTCAATCAGATATTTCTCTTAAAAGCAGAGTCTTTGCAGGAAGTACACTTCATATGGTTCTCTTACAAATAGTTATCTTGAAAATAGGTGCTCGTGAAAAGGTGAGCGTATCCTGTCTCACCGGTGGCACCTGTCATAAACGCATGTAAAAGCAAGCCTGAAATGTGCAAGGGAAGATAGAGCCAATGTCGGGAATTGTATCAGACGTGGACCTGATGCGTCAAAGTAGACGTACTTTTACCCGTTCTCAAAGCTTGACGTACTCGTACCTTCAAGCAAATCATATTAGAGTGAGTGAGTTTAGCTTTACGCCGCTTTTAGCAATATTCCAGCAATATCACGGCGGGGGACACCAGAAATGGGCTTCACACATTGTGCCCATGTGGGGAATCGAACCCGTGCCTTCGGCGTAACGAGCGAACGCTTTAACCACTAGGCTACCCCACCGCCCACAAATCATATTAGAACCAATAATAGAAGTGAAGACTTCATATGTTATATCAATATTAACGTGGAATGCAAATTAAAATAGTTGCATCTTGTTTTAGTTCACACTGCTCAACAAGGATCAGTAGGATCTGGACACTCCAGACAAGTGCCAGAGAATCCAGAAAGAGGTAAATCTTATACCGCATCACCACTATCTACGCCATATCACAATTCACCACATCTCTCTCCACACCACAGCACAGCACCCCTCACCACACCTCTCTCCATATCACACCACATCTTGCCACATCTCTCTCCACACCACACATCACCTCTCTCAACACCTCACATCTCATCACATCATCTCATCCCCACACCACATTAAAACACACCTCACCTCACCATACCACTCACATATAACTCCGCAACACGCATCTCATCTCATCACACCACACCACGCCACGCCACGCCACGCCACGCCACGCCACGCCACGCCACGCCACGCCACGCCACGCCACACCACCCACACCACACCACACCACACCAATATATCACCGCAACATGCAATACCTCACGTCACCTTACCTCACCTAACCTCCACACCACATCTCACCTCAGCATGCCATACACATTTATCATCCAAAACTGTGTTCCACAGGAGATATTGCTTGTGTGAGATCATACGATATCTCCTAGGAGATATCGTTTTGACAATAGATTTTGTACAATGCCCTGACAATGCTATGACGTCATGAACTTGACGATGTCATAATGCTATGACATCGCTGCACTGCAAGTCTAATGGTAGTACCGTGTTCAGAGATGTATATTTTTCATTGAAAACCAATGAACAGTGATTTTTGTAATGATAATAGTATCTCACCCTCGAGTCTTCTGATGTCAGTTATATCAATACTCGTTGGTAAAGTCAAAATATCCTCGGCAATCCTCGGATATTTGTAACTTTATCAACTCGTGTTGATATAATTGATATCAGTAGACACGTGGGTGAGATGCTCTATATACCACAACAACACCTCACCTCACCTCGCCTCGCCTCACCTTATATCACATCACCTCACATATCATCACCTCACCTCACCTCACCTCACCTCACCTCACCTCCACATCACATCACATCACATCACACCTCACCTCAGCATACCATACACATATACCACCACAACACATCACCTCATATTTGTAAGCTATGGCTCTATATATATCTCTGGTGGAACATACTAGAACATGCTGGTTTACGTTGGGTTATTTCGATTGGTCAAAAGTCTAAAGAAAGCCATGTTAGTCTAAATCTACTGATCAAAATAAGAAATTTCACACTTGGAGAAATCAAATATTGAAATATAATTTATAACACACATCTCTGCTCTCTATTACGTCAGATCAGAGTCTTACAAATATGGATTACACACATCTCTGCTCTCTATTAGATCAGATCAGTTAGAGCTAGCAATATTCCGGCAATATCACGGCGGGGACTCAAGAAATGGGCTTCACACATTGTGCCCAAGTGGGGAATCGAACACGTGCCTTCGGCGTAACGAGCGAACGCTTTAACCACTAGGCTACCCAACCGCCCACAAATCATATTAGAAGCAATAATAGAAGTGACGACTTCATATGTTATATCAATATTAATGTGGAATGCAAATTAAAATAGTTGCATCTTGTTTTTAGTTAACGCTGCTGGACTAGGACACTCCAGACAAGTGCCAGAGAATCCAGGAAGAGGTAAATCTTATACCGCATCACCATTATCTACGCCATATCACAATTCACCACATCTCTCTCCACACCACAACACAGCACCCCTCACCACACCTCTCTCCACACCATACCACATCTCTCCACACCGCACATCACCTCTCTCAACACCTTACATCTCATCACATCATCTCACCCCCACACCACATTAAATCACACCTCACCTCACCATACCACTCACACATAACTCCGCAACACTCACCTCACATCACCTCACCACACCACACCACACCACACCACACCACACCACACCACCACACCACACCACACCACACCACACCACACCACACCACACCACACCACACCACACCACACCACACCACACCACACCACACCACACCACACCACACCACACCACACCACACCACACCACACCACGCCACACCATACATCACATCACCGCAACATGCAGCACCTCACGTCACTTTACTTCACCTTACCTCCACACCACATCTCACCTCAGCATGCCATACACATTTATCATCCAAAACTGGGTTCCACAGGAGATATTGCTTGTGTGAGAGATCATACGATATCTCCTAGGAGATATCGTTTTGACAATATATTTTGTACAATGCCCTGACAATGCTATGACGTCATGAACTTGATGACGTCATGGTGCTATGACATCGCTGCACTGCAAGTCTAATGGTAGTACCGCGTTCAGAGTTGTATATTTTTCATTGAAAACCAATGAACAGTGATTTTGGATGATAAATAGTAATTCACCCTCGAGTCTTCTGATATCAGTTTTATCAACACTCGTTGATAAAAGTCAAAATATCCTCGGCAATCCTCGGATATTTTATCAACTCGTGTTGATATAATTGATATCAGTAGACACGTGGGTGAAATTCTCTATATACCAACACCAAACCTCACCTCGCCTCGCCTCGCCTCACCTTATATCACCTCACCTCACCTCACCTCACCTCACCTCACCTCACACACCACACACACACCACACCACATCACATCACATCACACTTCACCTCAGCATACCATACACATCCACCACAACACATCATCACCTCATATTTGTAATCCATGGCTCTTTATATCTCTGATGGAACATACTAGAACATGCTGGTTTACGCTGGGTTATTTCGGTTGGTCAAAAGTCTAAAGAAAGCCATGTTAGTCTAAATCTACTGATCAAAATAAGAAACTTCACACTTGGAGAAATCAAATATTGAAATATAATTTATAACACACATCTCTGCTCTCTATTACATCAGATCAGAGTCTTACAAATATGGATAACACACATCTCTGCTCTCTATTAGATCAGATCAGAGTCTTACAAATATGGACAGGACATAAGTATTTATATAAGGCTTCTGACATATATCTGTTATTTGTCATGCGTTTATACCGCAAGGATACTGATATCATTTAATAAGCATTGCTTGAAAATTGACTTATGACTGTTGAAAATGAATGAGCTGATTTTGCCTCATTATTCCTGTTACATCACGTCGTGTTGGAGAGGTGAAACCAGCAGGCACGGCCGTGATGCAGAAACACCAAGCCTAAGGGACGCAACTCTGGTTTATTACAATTATAATACCTTTCTTGATACAGATGAATATAGGAATGCGGTCCAAGTCACTTTAAGAGGGGACACCCTGAGCACAATCACAATTCCGGAGACGATCCCAGGTAAATACAACTGACAAAATCCTTTTCTAAAATCTCTTCTAAGAACAGAGTCCATTGTTCAATTTCGAAACTATCATGTGCCTACTTCAATGAAACCCATGTATGTAAGGGGTGAATATAACCCATTTAGCAAAAGCTATACATGGCGACAACCCAGGTCGTGGAAACATGCCCGTCTGGACTACTTTTAATTTCCGATAATAGGTTGCCCACTATTATGAAAACGGAAATAGATGAAACAAAACAGCAGTATGAAAATGAAGATAACAATCAACGTTTTGGGAAATAAGATTAATCTCCAGAGCATTCAAGGACTTAAGGGAGCTTAACGGAGATACAAGTTAGATCGCCGTCCACTTTAACTAGGTCATTGACCTTGATCGGGGTTTGCCTAATAGCGGCCATGTTTGTTTACAAACAATGCAAACGATTGTTTTTGTGTTTTTTAAAGGTTATTTATTTTAAAAAGACTATTATTTATGACGCAATTTTATTGCAAAATAATAATGTCTAAAAAAAGAGTATTCATATACTTTAACCTTTATATTTTCTTTTTAAAATCTCGGAATGTGTGAGTACAGCACGTTCTAATTATCAATGAAACGGTAAAAGTTGTCAATGAACCTAGATCAAGAAAAGTAGTTCCGTCAACCAATCATATTTCTTCTCTGCTTAGCTGACCAATCAACGATGAGAATCACTGAAAAGCACGTGTGCGATTATCACCAAAATAATCACCTGTGTATCCTAGCCTATATGGGCAATACTCTCTTTTTAATACTTCCATTTCTGGACCCTATAATGCTTTCAAAATTATTTGCAAGATGTTAAGATTACAAATGATTACCGAGAAGAGTTTTGTCCACTATAAGGATTTACGAAGGGGCGGTGGAAATTCACACATAAAAATCCATCTGGAATATATAAATAAAAAGGGTATCCTTGTACAAAATATATGATAGTCTAGTTTCTAAGTACATGTTTTATGACTCATAAACTATTTTGCACACAATGCAACCATTCCTGTCTTTCGAAACGTTTAAAACTGTTGAAACCATCTTTTACCCTAAACAGGTGTTCTTCAGGCAATGATACAGCAGTTATCAATAGTCATGAAAATTTGACTTGTCCTTCAGCCTCCAGTTTTACCATTTCATGTATATCATGTGAACAATTGTAATAAATTAATAATAAATATTTGAAACGTGGCCAGGTAATTAATGTTTGATCTTGTGGGAGATCAGGACTACACCCATCTTGGAAGGCAAGCTCGAGACAAGATCCAGAATGCCCAAACTCGTGACAAACTTCTGACTGAGTATAAATGATGCCACCAATACTTTTGCTGTGCCACTCCTTTGCTTTCCTTTGGAGTAGTTCATTGGACTAAACAAGATATCCTGAGTTTTGACCACCTGACCAGAAGGATAATGTCTGATAACAGAGCCCACCACCCTCGGTCCTCTCTTAATCGTTATATGCCAACCTATTCTGGAGAGCGGGGTTTGATTCATGTGGAACCTCTTCATGACAGAATTCCACAACTACTTTAAGCGTGTCAGGGTTGTTGGACATATTCTGAAATTTGCTGTTGATTTTGTTGATGGCGATGTATCCCATCACTAGACGGTACAGTGATGGGAGCCGGTCATTTGTGGAGATTTCTGAGGAATCACTGCATTGTGTGTACATGCAGTGTGTTGAACAGAACAGTAATCTACTCCTTCATCTGGAAGAAGTCGGGTGGTCTAAACGTGAAACTGAGGGCTTTCCTTTTGGTGCTCAAGACCAGTCACTTCCTACTCGCAATCTCCAAAATGTTCTGCTTCTACTACGGCCTTCGCCATGCCTGTGGCTTTGACACCGAGGTCCATCCATGGTACGACCCTGAACATGTCCAGGTTGTCATGGAAAAACTTCTTTGGAATAGGCCCATATACAGACAAAGAAAAAATCCAGCCAATAAACCTGATCTCGTCCTTTTGATAAAGCCAATGAATTTATTTATATCATTGAATTTTCTGTCCCTTTAGACAGTAACGTGATTGGCAAGATTCAGGAAAAGCATGCTAAATATGCACGAAATATCTCGCTTGCATCCCAAGTACACTGTCGTCAGACTCCCCATTGTTCTTGGTGCCCTTCGTTTGGTACCTCCTGATCTCTTGGTCACATTAGGAGAGTGCCCGGGTTCTCCACCGGGAGCACAGCCCTTCTGACACTCTGGGTAATTCAGAAGGGTGCAGTGATGGGGAGCCATCATATTCTCCGGAAAGTTCTTGGTGGGTTCGGCTAGGCAGCGCTTCCTAGAAGTCCCATTCGTTGTCTGTGAAGCTGTACGGGTTCAAGTATCAGATGTTACATCTGTTGTTGGCCGCAAACTTCTCAATAAATGGGAGTTGTAGACACTTCAAATTTAATTAAACAAAACATGTTGTGTGTTTGATCAGGGAATGCAACAAACTCATCTACATCTGGCGACATACGGAATCTTGGACATTGCATAATCTCCCTTAAACCTTATCATTATTATAAAACAAATAATTTTCGCCAATATCATAATAATAACAACAATTCTCCAACACTCCAATTTGTACAGAAGGAACTTACTGATTTATATAAGCATACTTCCACCTATAATGGTAACAGAGATTCTTCCCTATAACAATAAATTACACAATACCTATGGCCAATAGGTATTGTGTAATTTATTGTATCATATTCGTCTTAAACATTCCAATCAATAGTCTGTCAATAGTCGACAGAACAGATAAATGGTCTTGTATATCTGTAAACCCAATGGTCTTATCAAATCATGGTTACAATGGTTATGATATATGGTAATGACTTATAATGTTACTGATGTGTGTAGTAACTATGACAAATGTCTTTATATATCAGTACACAATGGCAAGGTGTCGATACTTGGAGACCACGATGACCAGAATGTCAAGACGACAGGTAAATTGTTTAATATCATTTTTTCACATATATTAATATGTCATTTTAATTAGCATATGCAACATTTTAATATTGAATGTGAAGATGTTTATTTACCATGTTAATTTCGTTCTTTTTGTGTATAGTTCTCGGCAAAATCAATAATATTTCTACATTTGTTTTTCATAAAAAGCTACATGCGAACATGGAAAGATCGTGCATCTTGAAGCAAACTGTGGGAGACCACTAACTACAAATGCCGCCTGTCGAACAAAGTGGATGCTCTCTAACATAACCGGTGCTTTGTCTAAGTTGATGGCATTTTGTTTTAAAGGACTGAAAGACATAACGTGCGCCTTCATGAACAAATTCGGCGTGCATTGGGTGCGTGCAGAAGAAGGAAGCTTAGTTTTAGAGTTCGGACATGGTACCAAACAAGATGCTGAGAACATGGTCTCTAATAAGGTTGAAGTGACCCATCTGCTTAAGCAGTTGCTTGGAAATTGCAATATTCATGACGCATTCATTGTGGATAATGTTGAGGTCATGGACGAATGTGATGATGTCACTGAATTGCCAAGTACTTCCACAGGCAAAGGATGGGAAAGGCAAGATCTTAGTTTTGTCTGTTTGTTTATCTGTTTTCCACCACATTATTCCGGCATTTGGCAACAGTCTGGAACTGAGGAAGTGTGGCAAACCAATGACTGAAAGCATGAACATTGTACAAAGCCCTCATGGCAAGATGACACACATTAGGCAGTGAGACTGAGTAACCCGATCCAATCTTGCGTCCTCTTACCAAAAGCAATAAAGTACCGTGGACATATTCTAATGCGAATCTCCACCGTTCATTGATATTAATACAGATCACAGTCTCTAGAGTAATAATGATAAAAGGCAATACTATGTGATGTGGAAGAATATGATTTATAGCAAACTTCGGCTTTTCTTTGTTGTCTGGATGTTTTAGGGTTTTGTCTTACAGGCTCACGGGACATCATTATGCCACTTCACAAAGTGCCTCGAGGATTTACTCAGTGTCATCTGGAGGAGCACATGCTCAGGCAGATCATCAAGTGCATCTTGAATCAGAGTTGGGGAAACTGTAAGTATATAATCATTAATTATGAATTAGGGTTTGAAGCGTCAACCTTATCAGAAAGTCTTTGTACTAAAAGCTTCTAGTGAAGTACAAAGGGCAAGACATATTGAGTAAAGTCATAACTTGTCGTAAGATTGTAAGGTGACCCAACAACAGTTACTAATGTGTATTGCGGCTCCATGTTGTCATTGCCAATGTATCCAATTACACAATATTCGCCTAAGGGCCGTTAACCCCAAGACTGTTGAGTGGGACGACCCTGCCCATTCCTCCAACAATTAACGCAACAACAGGTTTTGTACTAACATACGTTTACTTACATCACTCGATGTCTACTACACAAGACAGAACAGGCATGTCACAGAGTGGGAAAACGGTGTGAGGACGATTTGCCCTCACCACTCTGCTAGTATTAAAAGCGTCGTTTTAAATTGTCGGATACTGATTGCTCTTTATCACATGCCTTTATATATCAATATGATTCCTTCACAATTCAATCAGATTCAGAACACATGTTTGTCATGATCGAAAACGGCAACCCACGTGACCATGTCAGCATCTCTTTATTGATTTCCTGTCATCCCTCTATACGGCCCGTAAGTCTCGCGAGGCGCTACTTCCGCTACTAAATTTCCGGTGACAAACGAATATTCAAGAACCAGTTCTGGTGCCAAATTGCGCGACCGCCAAATATCACCTTACTAGGCCGGACCAAGTGTACTACCATGCTTGGCTGTCACAGCTGGTGACAGTCGGAGTAATTGGCTCATTTTGGGACGATAAGATCGAAAAATTATTTTATTTCTTCAAGGATTATCGGTTCCTTATTGACAACCGACAACCATGAGTCAATTCGAAAACATATGAGTACCTTTCTTTAGCTATAATAATTTTTTGACAACCAGCTAGTGCAGTTCTATCGTTTCTTTTCAGTATCGCGGACAGTGTTTGTCAGAAAATATATTTCGGGAATCAATGACATGGTAAACGTAAAATGTATTTGAGTAAACTTTATTTATTGAATTAATAAAACTATATTTTAATATTCATGTGTTACCAACTTTATCAAGTTGATGTTCTATTCATATTTGGCCACATTCACTCATTTCCATTTTCAATAAAAGTATGTAATTTCCAAATTAGAATATTTTTGTTTGTTTAGTTTGTTATTTATTTTCTAAATACATTTGTTATGCTGCAGTAATATTTTCAGTAACCATTCCAAATTAAAACCATTTTTTACATATCAATATTTATATTTGTTAGGATCTATTTAATAGATATAATCAATGGAGACAATTGGCTTTATGCAATGTACACTGCATGTGTAAACTAGTTGGTAGGCTTAACATATAATTTTACTCTCTTCCAAGTCTAAGAGATGGCTGTATGCAAGTTCAGGTGACAGAATGATAAAAGAAGAAATAACTTGTTTGTTGCTTTGCAAATGTGAAAGAAAATGCATTATAAATTTTTCTTTGGATAGATGATAGGGATCTGCATGTGGCAAATTGTTACTTTCCAATGCTGTAAATATATTGATGATGACATATTGAATAAATAACAGTTCTTGTAACATTATTTAAAAAATTATATATAAATATATGAACTTTGCCATTTTTGGTGACGTTTTTATTCACACAAGAAGTCATAGAGTCACAAATCAATCAACAGCTCGACAAAATAACCTTGATAATATGGTTACAATTATTTCGGTTACTACTGTCAGATATTCAAAACAAAAATGTGAAAACCTTCAGCCATATGAATATTCATCATGAAACAATTATTTATCAAATTATGTAAACATTATTTTAGTGGGGTGATATATAAAAACTGGTTGTTGGACAATATTAATTACACTTTGTACTAGATGTCTTGGATGTTGTTAATTATGTACTATGATCTACAGTACATGCGTGTTACTTAGTTCTTGGTTATGCAGGGGTGAGGTTCTGCTGTGCTGTAAGCAAAATATGAAGCAGCACACAGCACCTTCAAGTCACAGTTGGCAAAAATGCAAGACCAAATATACTCAAATATGGAGTAATCACTCAAAGACATTTCCTGTATTGTTAAATATACTGACCAATAGATGGGGAAACTAAATGTGTATATATACTATGTCATGACTGTAGATTCTGCAGACACTGGCTGATAGCAGAATGAGTGTGATTACTTGTCATGAAATATAGTGTTTTTCACCCATTTTTAGTAACCTATATCTTCCAAATATTCTGCCAATGAGGCCAAGGTTGGTAACTGGCATTCGATATTTTCCACTATACAGCTAGACCAATATGTTTTAAAATAATGGAAAAGAATAATGTGTACTGGTTATTGTGCTATGAACCAATGTTGTAATCTTACAGCAATATAAACAAAGAATTTCATATTTCAACAAAAGTTCCATGGCATGTAGAAATACATGCCTATGCCATTGATTAAGTTTAATTTTCATTGGTAAGCATGTTTTTTTCATGGAAACTGGGGTAGTAAGGTAACCTAGTGGTTAAACTGTTGACTTGTCACACTGAAGGCCCGGGTTCGATTCCCCACATGGGTGCAAAGTTTGAAGCCCATTTCTGCTCTCCCCAGCATGATGTTGCTGGAAAATTGCTAAAAGCGGCTTAAAACCCAACTCTCTCTCACTTGGAAACCTTTGCTATATACACTGAAAATCTAATCTCATACATTCATCATTATATATTTAATGTCAAATCAATATCATGGCTAAAGCAGAAATCTTCCAAACCATTCCATTTGTGCTTGCTTTATCCACACTTAAAAAACAATAAACAAGTTTTAGAACTATTCTGCAATTTTATTCAAAAGACATAATTACTCATAACATATCAAACAATCTTTGCACTTCCCAGATGCTAAACTTGAAAAAATACTGTAACAGTGTGAACTGGAATATTTTCATGGTCACTCATCTAAATTCTCACTGAATTATCTGAGATTCTCAAGATGTCACAAGGAGTTCCACAACACCTTGCTGATGACAAGCATTTCCTGTTCAAGCATGTGTCCAAAGGATGATGTGTTGGGCTTAAATATGTACATACAACACTTCAATGACTTGCTGTTTCTTCATTGGCAATGTATTGCTTGAACACCAGATGTTAAAAGAAATTTGAAGATCTGTTTCAGCTTGTGTTGCTCTTGATGTCAATGGAAATTGTGGTGATCTATTCCTCATTCTTTTCCTCTTAAAGATGTGCATCTGTTGCAACTGAACAAATACATAACACATGTGAGACCAAGTATGATATACTTAAAAAATGTAAACAGTTCCTTTCAGTGTTGACATCAAGATATTGATAAATTAAGCATGTGGATGTTATGTTTACCTGAACATGCTGCACCATCAACAAATGCTAAATGGGTTTGTAATAATCAAGCTCATATTGCAGAATACATTTGAGAGAGACACCTACTCAGAGCTATTGGCATCAATCAAAGTGTGGATATAATCATAATGGTTTACACTCTATGAAATTATTCTTTAATTCATTACATTTATTTTTTTAGAATTACACCTGGAATTCCATTGCGCATAAACTTATCTCCTGGATAATTCCAACTGCAAGATACTTTATTTATTAACAAAGTTCCCAGTAAAATGTTTTATGCACAACTTTACAAATATTGACAATTTTTAAAATATTTTGGTGAGATTCCAAAATAACTTTACATTGTTATGGATAAACTTAATTGATATTTGCCATGATGAATTACGTAAGTTTTAATAAATGTAACAACTACAAAATCCAATTGTAGTGAGTGGGTGAGTTAATATTTATCGTCACATTGGCAATATTTCAGCTATATCGTGATGAGAACAATTTATTATTATATAGATCAATGCAATTAGAAATTAAAAGTCTGTTGTCGAAGAACAGTAAAACTGCTTGTATATCACATGTATTAAAGACAAATTAGCCCGCTATAATAAAACAATATTATTAAATAGAACAATACAATATAAACATGGGCTATAGGTGGCCAACAACTGAAGGTAGATGGGGACGGGAACTTACAGTACTTTTGCTACCTGCATGGACCCTAGCTGGATTTACATCATCCCCTCAGCTGTTGACACTTTAGACATTAATTTAAACGATCATATATACTATGATTAAAAATGAGGTGAGATTAAACATACTTTGAAAGACGTGGTCTTACATACCCTCTGAGGGGGACAATAAAATCACAATGTAATATATCAAATGCAATCAAACGATTCACCAATCTGCACACATGTCAACTCCACCCTTACTGTGCGTTCCATGCTTAAACTATACCAGCCTTTAAATGAAACAAAGAAATCCATGTAACAAATAAACTTACCTCGACTCCTGAATGGGCCAGCCTGAAGACGACGCTGTGACAGCTGTTTGGCAGGTATCCACGTGCTATTCATGCAGCATTGCCTATGTGCGTTTATAGTCTGGGCATATTTTGTGACATGACATAGTTTTCTGAGTCCCACAGCCAGTGTCGAGTATGCCCCATGTAACAGTGTTATCGCCATTGCCGAAAAAGGTTGTTTGTCACCGGAAGTACTAAACAACGTAATGTCTCGCGAAGTGCCGTGACCTACTTACGGGCCCTATTGGTTCCGATTCTGTTGCCCTTGTTTTGTCACCTAAACCAACCACCACGTATAAGCTGTCACAAAGATAATAATCATTTGAAAGGTCGATATTGCTACAATTTTGTATGGTAATGGGGATTACAACATAAACTAAACCGACCCACAAAAAGTTCACAACCATTCCAGAAATTGCTTTCGGGTAATTTAAGGAAAGCAACGCGTTTAAGTCACAAATATTGTGTATCTGCATGTGTTGTCCAAACAGACATCGCACCCAATAGAAACGTTGCCAGTGCCTTGAATCGGTTGCCAAGCGAGGACGATTCAGTCTCCTTTGCCGGGTAAACGAAATGCCAACAGCACTCAGTCGTCTGATCAATGTGTTTCTGTTGATGCACTGACTCAACACTGTTGGTGCTGATGATGTCACATGGTTGCGCACATGGATAATGCGATAGTCATCTTTGCGGGGTTGCCATTTCTGGGACAGTTTGGCTGACGTGTTTCATAAGTCTGGTGATGGTCTGCATGGTACAACCGAACGTACCACCACTACGGCTATTTGAAGCCCCATTCTGAGACATTCCGATGACGCGTCTTCTCTCTGTTAAGGATAATCTTGGTATTTTAATTTTAAGTTGGTTTTGATGTTTTGGGGATGCCCTTTTACCTCTTAACAGCAATTTGGCGTTTAACAGGCTGACACTAAAAGTCTCAACAAACATATCATGCACGTGTGATTGAACAATTTCATGATTGTAAACACAAAAATTGTAACTGATCTAATTTGTGTGTATTTCAGGTCAATAGATGAAGAGGTTGATGGTGAGTGTGGGCAGGATATAACTTTATCAGACAACATCATCTCAGACAAGCACCCAGTCGAGGTTATGACGCTATGTTTGTCATAAGACCCGGCCAACGGGATGGGTTGGACGCAATCGTTAATTACTGGATTACCGGATCCAAATTATTTCTATTACGATATTAATCCTTTGGAACATAGCTGATTGAAGTGGCATTCAACATACACACATGTATTTAAACAATGCGACGTGGTTGTTTAACTTTTTTGTAACCATCTTAACAGATTATGAAATAATTTTGATAAGATGTCAGGGAGGAATGACTGTCATCATGACTTTACAATCCACATTCTGTTAGTACATCATCATAGAACACCAATTGCGAAACAAAATGGGAGATCCTCAAAGAATGAGTGAGTGAGTTAATATCTAGCGTCAAATCCGCAATATTTCAGCCATATCTTCAAAGAATAGAAAAAATGACCTTTCAAAGTTTTGGGTCGTCGTGTAGGATATTTAAATAACCTGTAAAACGCCCTGTTTTACTCCACAGGTTGCGATGCTTGCCGTAAATACAAGGATCCAGATGTCACGACAAATCAGGTTGTAATCCACATCAATGTGGAAATGGTGGATTCAGAAAGGAATTCTCGTCGTCGAATGAATCGAAGAATGTACATACGAAAAAAACAATTTGAAATGACAAAGAAGGCCTCTGCATTGAGAAACTCTGGAGGAGGAGATGTATTCTGCCACCTCAGTGGGAAAAATAAAATTAACAGATGCCTCGGACAATTCGATGAGGTATTTTTAAATCCTCAGATCTTTTACCCTGGTGAGTGGTTTGAGGATACTGACTTTCTTGTCATTACAGTATCTCAGTGAATCTCAACGAGGGTATCTACAGCGAATGTACACAGTTACATTTCCAACCACAGATCTCACGCTGCTGCTTCTCTTCCCGAGATAAAAACATTAATTTTCGGTAAACGCGCTGTAGGTCACAGACGTCCGGTTGTCAGAGGATTGGAGAATCTTCAGGAAGTAGTAGATATTAGGCTGAAACATTTAATACCCCAAAAACACCTCACGGGCAAAGCCGATATTTCTGAATATTTGTACACATATAGCTTACATAAGGATATTTCAGCATTTTCAAAAAAAACGATCTGGTGGGTCTCTTTACATTGGAGTTCGTGAAGGTGAAATCGGTCCAATCATAGAGGTTGTTCACATTACGTCTGAGGATCACACAGCCTTTGCAGAAGCTCTGAGACACTTTGTTCGACAAAACCTGATGATCATACCAAACATTCACTTTCACGAATCAAATGACCTGGCAGACCTTGTGGATGTTACATTTCATCCATTCAAAGAAGACAAAAGCATGATTGAATTCTCAGTCAGGCCAGTAAATGGATGTGTGTTCACAGATAAAGGTGGACCCTCTGCCTACAAACTAGATGAAAAGGGTTGTCAGGAATGGATGCAGAAGATTCAGCCTGTAGAATAGAGACCAAATGATGAAGATGCATGATGGGGAAATGTCATAAAGGAAAACAGCATGGTCTATAGCATAATGTTCATGGAGAAGTCTTTGAGAAAGTTTTGTGTGGACGAAACTGAACTGTTAACGGGACTTGGGGTCTTGTGAAGACAGGAAACACCCTAGTGGGTTTCTATACTGACTTTGTCGTCCATAAACATTCTCGTTTAAACTCTGGATGCCAACAACGCATGGTCCTATCAACGTTCAAAGTCCATTCACTGTGGTTTGAACGTACCGTTACAAAATCTGTGTGTCATTTGGAACAAAATTAGCAACAAACAAATAGCCTCACTGATTATATCATTTCTAATTAAGTATTGATGTATTAGCTCATAAGCAAGAAAATATGTGTATTGAAATATTTTAATGTATTCATCTTAAATGCAAGTGTAAGAACTTCATGGAAAGGTCAGGGCCCCTGTGGCCATTTATTGATAGGTTGCATTTTGTATATTTGTACACTGTATTGTATATTTTTATAATCGCGATCAGTACAATTGTGGTTTCATGCAACCAAACGTTGCATGGGCCTATGGCCTTTTCCCTGAATACACAGCTGTCTGCCTGTATAATTGTGGTTTGAGCTATATAGGGACATATTATTTATATTGATTTGTGTATCTTTATTTGTTGTCTCAAATGAGCTTCACGATCACTTAGTATTTGTCAGAAATTATTACTCAAAACTGTATACCAGTAGTTAACTCGCTGGCTGGCTGTTTGAATATGGGCGGTGGGGTAGCTTTGTTGTTAACGCATTCGCTCGGCACGCCAGAGTACAGGGTTCGATTCCCAGCATAGGATGATGTGTGAGGCCCATTTCTCATATCCTCAGCCGTGATATTGTTGGTATAGGGCTAAAGGCGGGGTAAAACCACATCCTCCACATTATCGCTCTGCTACTGTAGAGTTTATTCATCTAGGCAAGCTGTATAACACTACTCTGGTAGCATTCCGCTTTAAATGTAAATGTGAGATGATTGATGATGATGATGATGATGATGATGATATCATTCCGGTTTTAAATGTAAATGTGAGATGATGATGATGATATCATTCCGGTTTAAAATGTAAATGTGAGATGATTGATGATGATCATGATGATATCATTCCGGTTTTAAATGTAAATGTGAGATGATTGATGATGATGATATCATTCCGGTTTTAAATGTAAATGTGAGATGATGATGATGATGATGATATCATTCCGGTTTTAAATGTAAATGTGAGATGATTGATGATGATCATGATGATATCATTCCGGTTTTAAATGTAAATGTGAGATGATGATGATGATGATGTCATTCCGGTTTTAAATGTAAATGTGAGATGATGATGATGATGATGATGATGATGATATCATTCCGGTTTTAAATGTAAATGTGAGATGATTGATGATGATATCATTCCGGTTTTAAATGTAAATGTGAGATGATGATGGTGATGGTGATGATGATGATGATGATATCATTCCGGTTTTAAATGTAAATGTGAGATGATTGATGATGATGGTGATGATATCATTCCGGTTTTAAATGTAAATGTGAGATGATTGATGATGATGATGATGATGATGATGATGATATCATTCCGGTTTTAAATGTAAATGTGAGATGATGATGATGATGATGATGATGATGATGATGATGATGATGATGATATCATTCCGGTTTTACATGTAAATGTGAGATGATTGATGATGATATCATTCCGGTTTTAAATGTAAATGTGCGATGATTGCGGTGTTGAATATAATAGGATTGTGTTCGTGTCCAGTGGACTCTGTAGTGTTTGTCTGTTTTGTTGGGTCTTTTGTTTCTTTGTTATAAAGGTGATACTTTAATGTTCTATAACTTGTTTGTAGTTCCGTTATCGCCCTGTCTATATTTTAAGATGTATGGTACGTTATTATGTTTTGAGTGTTTATTACAGACGACTTTTCAATGTAGAAATTGATTTTGTAGGTTACTTTGCCACTTTTGGGAGGTGTTTTGTTTTGATAAGCTTTTGATTTCGTTTTGAGATAATGGTATGTTTATGTTAACTTCTTGGAGTTTCTGCTTTTGGCGTGTTTAGGCGTGTTTACTTAATTAAAGACATATTTGTGGGTGGGCCCTTAGTGCCCACTTGTCCCTGACTAACCAAGCCGAGGTAACCCCTTCCACAGAGCTAGTTAACTCCAAGGTGATCAGTGGCCACAACCGACTTAACTGTTTGCCCATGCATCTGGGTCCCGATTGATTTTCGTAACATTACGACCTGTCGTAACTCTAAAGTTTATCATAGTCTTACGAATGTCGTAACGCTACCAAGGTTTTGTGGATGGTGACCCTGATCTATTGTCTTGTCGCCTGTCTTTAGTTACATTTAGCTGCTAATAATAAAAGGAAAAAGCCTTGTTGTCTTGCATTATTTTTGTTCATATTTAATGATTCTCTGATCTCCAGGACCTGTGAAGGTACGGGCTAGACATGATTTTCAGTAACCTATGCTTGTCGTAAGAGGCGACCAACGGGATCGGGTGGTCAGGCTCGCTGACTGGGTTGACTCTTGTCATCGTATCCCAATTGCGTAGATCGATGTTCATGCTGTTGATCCCCGGATTGTCTGGTCCAGGCTCGATTATTTACAGACCGCCGCCATATAGCTGGAATATTGCTGAGTGCGGCGTAATGCTAAACTCACTCACTCAGATCTCCAGATAGTCCAGTGATAAAAGCGTTCGCCCGTCACGCTGAAGCCCCCTACATAGATATGGTGTGTGAATTCCATTTCTGGTTTCCCCCACTGTCAGATTGCTGGAATATTGCGAAAAGTGTCGTGAAACTAAACTCACACTCTAAAGACTTTAGTACAGCTTGTTGACATCAGAGAGCTGGAAAATGACGAAGGAGGGACGCTTTGGACTATAGAGAACACCAGATTGCTTCACGTCGACCATACTAGCTTTCAGAGAGAAGTGTTGGACAAGGAGAAAACGTCAGTAGCTCCAGTAAGTACATATTCCTTGTGACCCGGGTTAGAATTGGTCTTCAGCAACCCATACTTGTCGTAAGAGGCGATTAGTTGTTGCGTAGTGTTGCATCTCCGAGCTGAGAAGTCGGTTAATACGCTGATCAGCTGCCGTGTTGAATATCATTGACAAAACGTTCACTTTAGCGATACATACATGTGTACAATTGAATGAGTGAGTTAATATTTAACGTCACATCGGTAATATTTCAGCCATATCGTGACGAGAACATATTTGACATTGAAATGGAATATATGTAAATTATAAAAACCGGTCGACGAAGGACAGTAAAACAACTAGAATATCACAATTAAAATTAAAACTACCGTGGAAAGTTAAAACTAATAGCACTATTTGGACAATACAATATCAAAACAGGCTATAGATCGCCAACAACAGAAGGTAGATCACTTTACTAGGGACCATGGGGACTTACAGTACCTTTGCTACCTGCATGGACCCTAGTTGGAATTACACCATCCCTTCAGCTGCTGGCGATTGTAAGAAATGTTAGCCAAAATTTAAAAATAACAAAAATACTACGATTAAAAATCCTGGTTGAGTTTAAATTGACTTTGAAAGTTTTGAGACTTACGTATCCTCTCAGGAGGTCAATAATTTTACAATACTTCAACCCCCTTGAGGCTACAGCCACCAAACAATCTGAGTTATTAATTTGAACTTCCAATCATAAAATATTTATCCATTTATCAAATCAGTTTAACAAATCTAATTCTTTTAAAAAATGCAATATTTAAATGACAATTAACATTATTAAAAGGATCCTCCATAGTTCGTGATTTGATATTGAAATATTTATCCCTTGTGATGGATATTTCAAGACAGTCAAGCAGGACATGCTTGACTGTGGTTCTCACATCATCACAAGGGATACAAAACGAAGGGTCCCTCACCTTTCAATATGTATGCATGAGTATATCTTGTGTGGCCAACACGACATCGTTGTGTGATGGCCTCTTCAAATCTGGACTGACAACTCAAGTAGGTGTAACCAATAGTTGGTTTTATTTTATGCAATTTATTGATACCTACCTGGGTGTCCCACTTCTTCTGCATCAGATCACGGATGTAAGGTTCTAATGCTAGCTTTGTAATCAGTGTATGGGATAAGAAGTGGTGTCACAAATTTGTTGTTGAGTGCTGCTTTAGCAGCAAGATCATCCATTGTGTTCCCAGAAATGCCAACGTGGCTGGGTAACCAACAAAACGATGATGTCGCATTAGCCAGTCAGCAAGTTCAATTATACAATTCAATGTTTGCAATTTCTATTAAAAGTGGATGTTTACATTATGTATTGCTTATATTTAGTGTGTCTTTGAATATATTTAAGAGCCGTTCATATGGCGTTGGCTTCTGCTGTAAAGATAGAGCTGTTATCTGGTATTCTAGAGGATATTGTTCTGGATCCAATAACAGTGGCTCATGCCACCGCGCCACCATCCTTGGACCCATCTGTAAATAAGGATGTGTATGTATTATAATTGATTATATTCTTGTCTATATTGTAATTCATTAGTTTCTGATTTTTAAATGTTGTCAGTGTTAGGTCGACTTGTGGCCTAACCAACTGCCAAGGAGAAGAAGAAAGAAGACGGGAAGGAGCTATATTTTCCAGCTCAATGCCGGCAGCAGAAATGAATGGTTTAATTCTGAGCCCAAGAGGCGGAACAATACAAGATTTCTTGTTGTATAAATCCTCATAGATGGGACTGAAGACACAGTTATATGCAGGGTTTGATTCGTTAGAGTATAGTTTTGTATAGATGGCTCATCTGCCTCGACGACGTAGAGACTGTCATCAGGAGAAGTTCTAAAAGTCTTAGACCTTGGTGATGGACTGAATATAATAGTTTTAGGTTGCTTTTGCAGGCTCCACCATATACTTTCAGGCATTTAGTCTTTAACTTTTTTATATGCGGTAGGCAATGGTCAAGTGTTGATCAAAAACAATACCAAGAAACTTGGCCTCTTTTACAACTTTGATAGGAGCTCCATCCAGTACTAAATCTGGGTCCTTATGTGGCTTATATTTTCGGCAAAAATGAATGCAGTTGGTCTTGGCTTTTGAAAATATAAAACCATTTTCAAGACACCATTTATGAATCTTATTTAGACACAACTGCAGCTGCCTTGCAATAGTGTTCATGTTTTTACCGACAAGAAATGTTAAAATCGTCCACAAAAAGTGATCCATCAATCGAATCATTTAAAACCTTTGATAAACTGTTGATTTTAACGCTAAACAAGGTAACAGACAAAATATTTCCTTGTGGGACACCCTGATCCTGTTTGTAATGGTCAGACAGGGTAAGAACCCACTCGGGAAACCCACTTCTAAAACTGAGACGACCTCTCAAATCAAAGTCATGGAGATCTTTTAGAATTCCATACTTCCATGTGCCTTTTCAAGATCGAAGAAAATTGATACAGCATGCTGTTTATTTAACATGGAAGTTTAAATAAAAGATTCTAAACGTACCAAATGATCGATGGTTCTTCAATTTTTGCGGAAACCACATTGAATGTTAGTGGTGCGGTTGTTGGTTTCCAGGTACCAAACTAAACGATTATTAACCATACGTTCCATAGTCTTGCAAACACAGCTAGTAAGTGGTATTGGTCGGTAGTTAGAAGGATCAGTATGACCTCGACCAGGTTTAGGGACAGAAATGATAATAGCATTTCGCCATGATGAGGGGAAATGACCAGATGTCCATATATACTCTCCCAAAACAGAAACGCATATAGGAATTTCAACTGTATTTTTATGTTTATTTTGAAACATCTTGTAGGCTTTATGAGTCAATGAAATATAGCGAAATTGCACACTGGGAATGCAGACTTATCCGTCTTTGGCACCAACTCGAGGAAAGTCAGTTTGAGTGTCACATGGAGACGTGTGGTGGCGCTGAAGTCCAGAGCTGCACGGCATCGCCTCGAGATCGAACGAATAAGTCTCAGAATCTCGTGTTGCCGAATCACAGCCCACTCTGCCTGTAGTGCCTG